GGAGGGGGGTGGTATGAAACAAGGAAAAGAATAAATTGAAGAGAAAAAAACAAAAGAAAACGTCCGCAGCATCCCTAACAGCTGGACACTAATGGCTGGACCATCGGTCACCTCGACGTTCTATCAGTCCAATATGTCCGAACCGTGTTTCTCTACGTCACGTGAACGAACGTGTTGGGTTCCCACAAATTTCACTCTCGATTACACGCGTACGGCATCCGTAAAGAATTTTTCCATAAATCGCGTAAAAACGGTATTACGAAAAAAAAAGAAAAAAAAACACATTCATTCGGCATGCCGTACCGTTGTGCGGCCATACTGTTGTTATTATTCGATCCTTGACCCGGATAACGTGTAAACGAAATGCAAGACCCAGCAGGTGCCTGGATCGCTTAATTAGACGTCGTAACTTACGATGTCCATTGAATCATTCTTACGAATGCGTAATTGACTGCACGCGAGCGGCCATATTTTTTTTGTATACGTAACGCGGATTAGTAGCGTTTAGGTCGTATCCAGAATTCGTTACTCGTTCAGTACGTGTTACAGCTTCTGATATATATATATATATATACAATATATTGTGACGTTCCGTCCTTATACCCCCCTATCCTCTATCCTTTTTCCTTCCCAATCATCCATTCTCGATTATTGATACGTCAAGAGTCCCACTAAGAGTGCATAGCGCACTGTGGATGTGCATTACTTCGCCTATGTTTACCTACCTGTATCCATTCTATGACTGCTTTTAGTATTCATTTGAATGTCCGACACTTGACAAGGCACGTCTCTCTCAGCTGTTTGGGTCTTTATTATTATTTGTCTTTGGACGCACTGAATTTCTATGGGCCATCGAGTATCTTGCACCTCCAATGTTCGTAAGTAGGCTACAGTGAAAAGTGAAAGATGAAAAGTCACTAGACGATATAAAGTTACCACAGAGTCACGTGACTCGGGGAATTTCAGGACCTTTTAATTTTTTTCATATCGACGCAGACGTTCGAGGGGTATATCTGACGCGTGACTAGCTCGATGGGTGCTTCTTGTATTTTTTCTTTCTCATTAAACCGCAAAAGCATACTCTCTCCTGTAATATCCATGCAGTCTTGGATTAACAGCATGCGGTCACGCGGGATGCATCGACGCACCGTGAACCCGGGTGAGGGCCAGAACCTTTGAAAAAAGAAGTCTGATCCTCGCAATCGATATTATCTCTCTTCTGCTTTGGTTTCCGTTATTGTATCGTCTGTCGAGATTGAAATAATTGTCACTTTCGTGCACTAAGATTCTATTGTATACCCCCGTAGCGTACAGTAGTCATATTCTCGTGGGCTGAATCGTCCAATGAAAAATTCTCTGACCTCGCAAGGGCTACCAGCCTCGCGCATCTTATCGCTCGTAAATGCCTTTTTTGTATTCTAAGCCGCGCGTCGCACAAATCAAGCAAGTTATACGCCATGCGGTTTGGGTAGACTTTATGCACCTACGTATTAATGCAGGTACGGCTGGACGCACGTGGCGATGCTTGCAGCTGCGACAATCGTCCGGGGTCTGCTGGGTTAGGTTGGGTCGACAGTGCGTTGGGATTAGAAGAGGAAAAATATATAGTCGTACACTCACCTCTGGTTTACGTAGCTGCCGGGTTACTTACACGATTTCCTATCCTCGAGAGGTAACTCGATTTTCGGGACTACGGTGCGACTTTGAATAACAAGGCGATCCTTGAGACTCACGCCCTGAAGTTGGCTACTACGTCGTAGCCGGTGCACCTGCGTACAATCGTACACGGCCGGGACCCGGGATAATTGCAGGTTCGTGGTTCTCGATCGGTTATTCGTTCGCCCAGGGCGAGGAGCACGGAAGAAGAAATGGAAGAAAAAGAAGGTAGGGTCTTTTTTCTTTTTGAGGTTAAGTCGTTGTAGAGGGAGGCGCTTGGGCCCTGCGGTCGGTAGCTACGGAGACTGCAGTTTTTGAAGGGACCTGTAACTATTGGACGGGTTCAGGTTGTATTGCGTACTGTATAGAGTCTATATACGTATATGCTGTAGACGGTGGTCGGAGGGTTGTGTGTAAACGCGCGACCGGCTGGAGCCGATTTTGTGTTTGTTTTGGCAGCGGACGGAAGGCTCGTTGAGGATGCGCCTTGCGGGCGACCATCGTGGCGACTTGGACGCTGACAATTTTTATAGGGAAATTATTGTGGGTCTTGTTTTTTTTCTTTTTGGAATAATCACGTGGTCTTTAAAATTTTTTTTTCAAATTTTTTACTCTTTCGCGACTTTATTCGTGAAGTAGGATCGTTGCAGGGCGAAATGGCCGCTACTGGCTCAACCTCTTAGAATTGTTATTGACGGACGAAAATTTGGCGAATCTCGCTCGGAAGCTGTGGGAACTTGGTAGATACTCTGCCGAGAAGCTGGGTTACCGTAGCGAGCTGATAAACCGCGTCGATCGTCGACGAAAAAATCTTTTCTTCAGTTTGCTCCTGATAATATTACTTTGGAAATTCGCTGACTTGTCGTTTGATCGTTAATTGTTTGTTATTTGCTACCAGAATATTATATATACGTATATATGGCACACTGATATACATAGATGTACTTATGTATATCATGTAACCAAGCACTGAATAGTTCATGGGTTCGATCCCAGGTGTGAGGAAAAATTTTTTTTTATCAAAAATTTTACCATCCTATCCTGGATACCAGATTGTCATTGGCTGTCGAGGATTCTTTTGTGATCCCGTTTATATAGCATCTGGTCTGAATGCGTCCCTTATATTTATTGGATATCGAGAAGCGTCCTTGCTTACCATTAATCTCATGCTTGTGATGTATTATGTGATAGCTTTTCGATCCCCCATAGAAGTTCCCCTACGTCTAGTTCGTTGGTACTGAGCTTCTGGTAATGCCCGTGGCATTTCGTGGTATCTGGGTATTAGGTGAACCCTTGCCATAATACCACGTCTGTTTTGTGCTGTTATCGGAAAAGCGTATTCGGGGCTTTTCAGCTTCAATTATATAAGACGAATTTGAAAATTTCTACCAGTTGCCGTAAGTGCCAGGGTACAACATAAAAATATACTGTTAAGCTTATATGGTCTACAGGTGGTTTCAAGGATCGAGTAAAAAGTGATCCTTTCGAAAGGTCCGCGGGCGAAGGAATAATATGTCAAGGCTTTGACTTTTTGGCTGAGCACTGTATCTTGTCACGTATATTATAATAAATATTCTAGAAATATTGGGAATTTGAAAAATCACTTTGAATCATATTATACATATATATATATATTTTATGTATGATGCATATTGGTACAGTCGACGCAAGAACTTGTGAATGA